TCTTCCTTCTGTGGCTGTGGGAAGCTACAGCCTTTGGCTGTAAGCTCCCTGCACAAACTGTGCCTCAGCAGTAGGGAAGGAAACAAAACAAACAAACAAAAAAAGAGAAAAATAGTGGCAAGTTCTAGAAGAAAACATAAGATTAAAAAAATGAATTAAAAGGTGTGAAATAACTTAGATTATCATCTGAGAATTGTTTCTTGCAAATCCTTGAAAATGCTGCCACAATTTCGAATTCCTGATTTCCATTTTGCAATTTTCAGTCTCTCATATCAATGCATTGGGTCTGTCCCAGGCCAAATGCCATGGGAAAGTGTTGGAATGCTTGCAAAGCAGTGCTGGGACAGCGATGCTGTGCATGTAAGAGCATTACCAGCAGTGTGCTGCCACATGCTTGAGGTCCAGGACACCCCACTGCTGCCAAGGCGTATGCTTGCCAGTGATCCATGTCCCCAGTTGCAAGGCATTGCTGCTATCTCTTTCTGCCTCCTGAGTTAACACACTTGGCACAGCTGGCCCAGCAGCAGATCTGCCAGCTTGTTGCCTGTCCCAAGATCTGAAGCAGAGGCAAAAGTGCTGGGCTGCACAGATTTGAGATTTGCTGGCCCTGTGGCAGGGAAGTGAGAGGTGAGGGCCAAAGACCAGTGTCATGCTGAAAATACACAGCTGCACAGTCACTGAGAAGAAATCAAACCTGCTTTTCTTTTTACAAGTTTATTTGTGAATGAAGTAACTCCTGAAGACTTTAAACTACATAGTTTGTGAAAATCTTGAGAAAAGAAACCTCCCTGCATTTTTTTTTTTCCTTCCATGGACATAAGTAAGACGTCTATGTGTCCAGAGGGTCTGAGGCTTGAAAGTGTCAGGTGATCACATCAAATGGGTTTCTAGCCTCAAGGGGTAGGTCACTGTTTGGTAAATGCCTGATTTCTGTAAAAAAATGTGCTGAAGTAGCTGATCTGAAAGCTCAAAGTGTTTCACAACAATCTGAGAAAGGTTGGACACCTGTAATTATGTTTTGGCTTCTGACTTTTTACTTCCTCTCTGTAGCAGTTCTGGAGTACTCTTTCCTCTTGATCTCAGAAATGTTTCCAACAGAGAAAAAAAAAATTATCTCTGCTTCAGAACAAAGCCATTTGGTATCAATTTAAAGAAAATACATGCTCAGCTTATTCAAATGAACAATCTTATGTAAAAAGCAGGATTTAATATTTGATTAAAAAAACCCTTGAAAGTACAGTTTTGATTTCATATAGGAGGAAAATATATATGCTGATGATATAAGGCATTACCAAAGCTTTTACCCTTTGCCCCCTCCTTACTGTTACCCTCCCAAATGCCTTTTGAAATAGTGTGAAGGACTAAGATTGCTGATGATGAAAACCAGCAATTTTATAAGATGCTGCATAACTGCTGAATTTGACAAAATATAAAGAAATTGCTGTCTTCCTACAGACTTCCTGTATAAGATATCTATAGATATGTTCTACATCTTGGCTAAAGCCATAAAATAATAATAAGAAAAAATGATGTTAAAAATTTAAGCACATTAAGCTTTGTGATTAATAAAAGCGTCTACCCAAAAAAGCAGTCTGAATCAGACGTGCTGGAATTCAAAAGACCTAGCATTTCAGAGTACTTAAACTCTGAAACTCCTGACTCGCTCAAAGAATTTCTGAAGGTACGTGTCTGTTTTGAGAAAACAAACGTGGCTTTTCCATGAAAGAGGAGTGTTACGGCTGATGGGTCAAGAACAAAATGCATTGTGTTTGCACTTGACTAAAATGAAATAGTTTTCTTTTCAATTACATGCAGTGAAGTATGTTTTCATTTATGATATAGCTCAATTTTGTTTTACAAAAACACAGATTGGAGTTCTGTTTTGAATGAATAAACACAGCACGTTTAATATCTGTCACCACTTTCTTTTGTATTTTGCTGTTTACATTTTCACTGTGGACCTTAAAGAGCTGTGAAGAAAAGAAGTACTAGTGCTGCAATTTTGCAGAAGCTCAGGGCCAGTCAGCCACAGCAACTGGATCTGCATACAAAGTGTCCTGTCTATGCAATGCTTCCTGACATCATGTAATGGCATTGAGATACCTCAGTATGATAGACTGCCCTAAGTGACTCTACAGCCATCAGTAATGTTCATCCAGCCACTTTATAATGTGAGTGTACTGTAAGCTTACACCTGATAGTCCTATCAAGCAATGAATGGTGTTTATGAAGTATACAGCAACTGGAGTAGTTGTTTAAAGACCATCCGATGATAGATAGATAGATAGATAGATAGATAGATAGATAGATGATAGATAGATAGATAGATAGATAGATGATAGATAGATAGATAGATAGATAGATAGATAGATAGATAGATAGAATAATGATTTGGGATATCTTGCATGAAAGACAGTTTCTTCCATTTCTTCCCTCAGCTTTTGCCGCATGAAGACTTGGTAATAGTAAAAGATAGAAAAAAGTTTATGTGGAAATAAAGGTAAATTGAAGTCTATAATTATGAAGGTGTACACTTCACAGACCAACAGCATACAGATTAGAACTTTTAATAAGTGGGAACCTGTACACAAAGTTGCACCTTGAAAACCACCATGATATCTGAATTCTCAATTTTGAATATATAGCAGTTTCTTCCTGAACTTCATCTTTATTGCAAGCTGTGCAGTGTATTTCCATTAAGCAGAATGACTACTGCTACTACTGCTCCTACTACTACTATATACCCTTTATATCTAAAAAACTGCTTAAATTTTTTTATAGTAAGATTAAGAAATGTTACTCAGGCTTAAGAAAGCCATTTTAATATTTTAGCATATATTGTCTCATGAACAATCTATTCTATGTTTTCTTTATGGTTTTAGCATTTCAAACACTACTTCTAGGTGAGTAGCTCTAGAAATAAATTTTGGGTCTGAGATTAAGAGCCAGAAAAGCCAAATGAAATGCATTGTACCTTTTTGACTAAGTAACTGAGGTTTATACTTAATTGCAACTTAATTATTAATGCCATGTAATTAAAATGGTGAACCAGTGCAATATACACCGATTGAAAATTTTATGGTTTTGAGGCTATCCTCTGTAGTTATCCCTTTTTCAATAGGCAGAAATACAAGGTTGTGCAATTCACAGTAATTAGAAGAAACATTTCAGAATAATGTAGCACAATAATTGAAAATTTACCATGCATTTGAACAATTTCAGCTGCAGATCTGACAGTCTTAATGCCCACTGTTAAAACTATGGTTGAAACTGGTAACTGGGGGGTTGGCATTGAATGGAATAAAATAAATTATTTACTTGATTTTGTACTTGTAAAGTAGAACTGACTTGCCTTCCTGTCCTCCCTGCAAGATGCTGGGTGAAAGGCTGAGCGCAGATTTCCACTTTTTGCTCTTGCTCAAGTGCATTTGGATGTCATGTAGATGTTGACAAGGATTATATTCTATCTCCGAAGAGGAATCTTTTATAACTAACAGAAATTTTCAACATTATTAATTATAAATTCAAAAATCCTAGAATAATAAAATGTTTGGGGTTGGAAAGGACCTTAAAGATCATCTAGTTCCAACTCCCTGCCACAGGCAGGGGTACCTTCCACTAGAACAGATTGCTTAAAGACTCAAAGATCTCAAATGATTTTGAAGTAACAGCATGGACTTCTATAACTATATTGGAAATACTGCATTTTTCCATGCTCATCATTTCTGCCATGTTACTGTCTTTCTATATTCCTTGCTATTGTCTGTCTACATTAGTAGCTTCCATTAAAAATGGTACAATTTGCAAACTGGAATACTAAAACTGCACTGGAGAAGTTAAAGTCATGTTGAAAATCCAAAAGAGATTGGAGATTAATCATACACTATGTATTGAGGAAGTGTTTTTCCTTTGTACAGAAACAAGTTTGAAAATTGAATCAAACAGCACAAATCATAGCCAAGAATTTATAATAATGATCTATTCCAGGAATGTATGCAGGAATCCACAATGATTCAGATGGTCAGATGCAGTATCTTCTAAGAATGCAGTGTAAAAAATTTCCTGTGTTCCCTTAAGAGCACAAACTTTCCAGAAAAAAGACTGGTTTGAGGTTATTTTCCCAGATGGGGAAGACAAATTCACTTCTTACCAAAATTAAATCTCAGCATTTTCTCTTTTAGATAGTAGTTACTTTAACTGGATTGTGCTTGCTCTTTGATTATTTGTTGTATCTTCAAAGAACTTAAGGGGATGGAAATGTTTATTCAGAATTCTGTCTGCCAGTTCCCCTATAAATATGATAATCTTTAGATGAAAAATAAATTAGTAAACACATGACATGATAAAAGATAGCTTCTACAAAATTCAGAGCCACATTCTTTTCTCAAGAGTAAATCCCAATTTTCATTAATGTTTTCCCATTAATGTATAAAAGTTCAGTTTTGGCCAAATGACTTGCCATTATCTAAATAGTTTTGGTCTGAAAAGACAAATGACTTATTATACTACAAGTGATAATTTGCTTATTTTCTTAACCAGATATATCACTAATTCTATCTTTCATAAGCAAAATAACTCCTCCCTCCTATTTTAAGTCATGATATACATTTGTCTAAGCAAAATGAAATTACCTTCCTTCCACATTTATTATTACACATCTTCATATCAAAATGCAATTTAGGACAAGGTTAAATAAAATAAATATAGCCTCTCATTCCTTTCCTCATTTTGTCTATTGCTGTTCTGATTTCAACTGACAAGAGCATTGAGCTGGCTGGGAAGCAAGGTAAATGCAGAAAGAACTATGAATATATTATCATCTTTATTTAGAATTTTGATAGGCTGAGACCTCACTTGTAGTACAATATTCATTGACCCTGAAATACACAATGTGAAGTAACCTCGAGATGCACAAGCTTCTGTGGGCAACAAAATATCAAATTCACATAAGGAGGCTTCACATTTAAATTACGCAAAAAACCAAGATATTTTGAACATACATTAGGGCAGGATATGGTCCTTTGAATGTTATTCTCAATGCTCGTACCAGCAGCAACCGTCATCTGCAAAAGGGGGCAACAGAGATTCTGCTGAATGGAACAAAATTCTGTACAGCACTACAGTATATTTAAATTACACCATACTAACAGATGAATATGATCATTCAAACAAGCTTATCAAAGAGAACACTGATGTGGCTCAACTGAAATTCACATAAAGAAATTGAAAGTATTGTTACATCTCCTGGCTTGGGAAGTACTGAGAACAACCTAATAGTAGATCACTTTGGTGTTCTGCACTGTGTTCACACAAGTGGTCTCTGAAGCACTGTCAAACAGTCTGATAGCTGTGGAGAAATAATCACAGCTCCATGGCTGACTTATACCTGAGGTCTCTACATAAAGCAAGAATTTTACCTGTTTGTGAGGTTAGAAGAAAGTAGTGTCTTCTCCCCCATATTCAAACATCTTATGGAAAAACATCAAAATAAATAAACCTATTACATTATTAGGTCCAATTTACCTATTAAATTGGTAATTAGTTCATTCTCAGACTTCCTTCTTGCATTAATCATAAGAGTATAAAAATAGTAGGAAAGAAGCTGTGTGCATTTAAAAAGTCTGGAAGTCCCTTCAGCTTCTGAAGACTGTGTTTTAGCATTGAATGCTATTTTTCTTCCTTTTTATCACTTTCTAACTTATTTCTGAAGAGCCCAATAAATAACATTTTTCTTTAGACAAACCTTGACTAGTAGGCAATCTCACCAGGCAGTATTTCCTCAGATTTCAAAATTTACTTCAGAAGAAATTAACAGCAGACATTTTCAAAGGTTCCAGATGTAAAAAACCCAGCAGTACTAGACTAAAGCTTTAAACAAATTCATTCCACTGCTGAGAGCATATGTAACAATACATACAATGTTCATGCTAATTATAGTTGAGCTTAATCATTTCTCAAAGTAAATATTGACCTAAGCTTTATTTCTGTGACTATTTATAACTCAATTGAGTAAAACCTGGTATTTGAGCAAAAAATATGCTGTTTTTGGATTCAAGTATTTTTAACATATGGAAAACACACCTTATTGCAAGATGTTTTACAGTGAATTTACTAATATAATTTGAGGAAGTTAAGCCTGTATATTACAGCTTACTTTTGCAGTAAACAGAAATGTACACATTACCAATATACTTAACTGCCACAGGCATGTATCCATGTCCATCTATCTTCAAATCACATACTTGCAATAATCCTCTCATTTTGATTTATAATAATTTTTAAATACTTGAAATACTTTTAAACTTTCAGTTTTTCAAAGAATTATGCAATCATATTTTAAAAAAATTAAATTTTGTATTTTAAGCAAAACTCCCTGTATGCTGACAAGTTCTTAACTTGTTTCTGTCAGATTCCCCTTCTTTAGATTTACAGCTTTAAATATTTGAAAACATTTTTATAATGCTATTCACTTTACTTAAAAGACATTTCACTTCATACAGAGCAGCTACTTTTGAAAAGATAATTTCCATGCAAAACAACTTCATGTTAATTCATGTATCATGTTCAGATGTATTTATAACACCACTGTTGCTCCAGAATTAAGGAAAACACAGTACATATTATATCAGCATGGCACTGTTTTAAATAAACAATACTTCAGCACAAGTAAACACACACATTATAAATTTTACTCATTCAGTCTCGTGCATCTCAATTTAATCATGGTTCAATGGTTCATAAATTACATCTGTGTGTATATATATATATATATATATACATATATATATATATATATACAACTAATAAAAAAACGTTGAAACAAATGCATCTGGATTAATGTGTAAATAATTCACAAAATTTTGCATATTTTAATTTCCATATGTCTGACATAGGATTTTTTGTGATAATTTTGCACTGATGTTTAAAAAGGTAGATCTACTGTATACTTTTGACTGCTGCATCTGAGCTCTATTAACTAATTTATTCTTGCTGTTCATCACTGTTAACCGCAATATTCTCTCAGTAACTTTATCATAATTTTTCAAATTATCTTGTAAACAATTTTCCCCCTCTTTCCCCTTGTAAAACTGCGATGAAAGACCTAGTGACAAAAGGTATAAAATTAATTCTGTTAAATTTTAGCAGCTGATGGGGTTAAAGTCCAGTATTTTGACCCTTGACTATGAGAAACTTAACATAGATGGAAATGAGTGATCCCTGGTACTACAATGTTGTAAGGCTATTTCCTTATAGCCATACTAATTTCCTATTCAACTGGACTTCCATATCCAAAGTGTCAAGTGGAAGAAAAGTGAAAGAAAAATATTCCATTAAAAGTATAAAATCTGTGCATTGCTTCTAAAATTGTTTTTCTTCAAACAATGTATGTTGAGGCAAATGCACCATATTGTCGTGAAGATTTTACTGGCAATCATTTGAGGTACAAAAATCTATGAAACAGTTATGCATTGTAAGTAGTGCAGCAACTCCCATTCATGCACGTTGATAACATATTTCTTCCATTCAGGAGTGCATTTAATGGTATGGCATTGACTTAGTGTTTCATACCTTAGTAATTACAACATATTAGAATTAATATTAATGACACTTTCTATTGCACTTTGGGCTTTCTCCTTTAGAAAATATTTAACAGAGGAGAAAATTAAAGTTTATCAGAGGAGAAAATAGGGTTAACAGGGAGACAAAATTCTGGAAATTAATCTCTAGAACATATATATATATATATATATCATATACTTTTACTTGGGATGAGCACTTTGGATACTATTTGCTGTAAACCATGTGCAGGGGGACAGATCCTCAAGCCGTATCCTACTAGTGGACTCAGAAATGTTTCCAGTCTCCTTTTCACCTTTCTTTTGGATTTCCACATAGAAGAGCCCTGTGGGAGGTTGTGACACATCTGAAAACATTTTCAGAAAATGCATCACCTACGAAATGCCCTCTAGGTGCACACACAGCCATGCTATACCTCCTGGAGATCCCAAGACCACGTGAGACAATAATCACAAAATATTGCACACATATGCAGAAACTGGCCTGACTTTCACAACCAGATGGAAATAATGACAAAGGATATATGAGACTATAATTTCAAGTTTCTGTGGGAGCAATAAAATTAAATGAAGTTTTACATAATTCTCTAAATTAGCCTATGAGGAGTAGGAAAACTCATTAATTCCAACACTATTATTCCTAACCCTACAACATGAAGCAACTGCATTTTTAGCTAGTTAATCATACTGGGCTTACATGTGATCTTGCTATCCACGTCACATGAAAAATAATTTATTTTCCTAAGCATTAACATCATTACAATCCAAACCTTCTTCATAAGTCTCCAGCCAATGCTCTGGTAAAGCAGGAAATTCTGCACTCAGTTATGGTGCAAGCAGTACAGCTCTAATTTCAAGACCACATCCAAAATAAGGACAGGGAATACATAAGAAAGTCAGATTTTATAATCTCAAAAGCTGCTGAAAAATTCAAAGATGCTCACTGGATGAACTTAATTTGTTGCTGTATTGAATAAACCAGGGCAGAATCTTTCCCAGTTCTTTTTTATTCTGTAATGTAAATTTCTGACAAGTGGAACCTATGTATCATTAGAAAATAATGATAATCCTGCTCTCAGAAATAAAAAAGTCTTCCTTGGAGCCAATTGTACATACACACTATGCATAAATAAATATGTTTGATGATGATAGTCTCCAGAAAAAAAAAAAAGAAGCAAAAATAAGTAACAAAAACCACCTATAAGCCATCTATATCAACATAGCTCTCTGGAATTTATGTTGACCTGTACACACTTTGTCCATGGGAGCGCTCCCACTGAACTGCAGAGTACTGCCTATCACTTCACAGTGATAGGCAGTACTACATGCAAAATTTGGCAAGATCTATTCCTTAAAAGCTAGTATGTAGGAAGACAGACCTTGCAGTCTGTATAGTAGCATTGACACAGTATTGTTACATGTCAGAACAAGGTAAACTAATACCTCATTAAGTGAACATTTTAAAGAGAAAATAAGATTCAAATGTATTTATTTACCTGTATCAAACTAACTGAACTTTATAATTATTCTTTGATTAATCTCTTTAAAAATATTTCAATAAAATCACCACAGTTAAAATAAAAACTTACACTATAAAATATCTATTCTTGCAGGAGATACTTATTACAATGAAGATTCAGAGCAATGAAGATCACAGAAGCAGAGTTTGAGTTAATATATCTATTAAAACATCTCGAGATCATGGCTTTGTGCTGTACCAAGGTACAGAAATAACTCAGGCATGTATTCCACCATTAAAAATTTACTTAATAAATGACTCTAAAAAGAAACTGTCTGGATTTTCTTACTTGAAAAAGAAATACATTGCCTTGCCTTTCCTTCCTAGTGGTCAGAATTTCCTTCACATAAAGTCTTTTCAGTCTACAAGTTTGTTGTTTGTTTTTTTTATTACAAGTGCTGAAAACAAAGGGCATGCTCATTTCACAGAAGTACAGAGTCATCAAGGTTTTTAAGACACCTTCAAGATCATCTGGTCTGGCCATCAACAGCCCATCACCACCATAATCATCCCAAAGGCCACATCCAGACACCTCTTCTTGAGTGCTCCAGAGACATTGATTCCACCCCCCTTCCTGGGCAACTCATTCCAATGCTCAACCTCTATTTCAGTGAAAAAAATTCTTCTAATATCTAATCTCCACCTCCTTAGGAATGGCACCTTAATGGTGAGGAAGGAAGAGGCAGCATTGCACACGCATGTACATCCTGCCCTGCTAAAAGACAAGTAGGGTTTAGGAAGGTGTGTTAAGACTGTGCACATGGTCCTTGGGGAACAGAGCTACTGAGATCCAGGTTAGAGGGAACTCGAGCACACCTGAGAGCCTTTACATGTCTCAGAAATCCCACAGATCTTGTGAGAGAGAGAAATCTCTAAAGCAGGACAAGGATCACAGGGACTATCAGAGTTTTGTTAAAGACAAAACAAAGTCAAAATTCTGGAAACACATTCAAAACACAGTGAATCA